AAAATACATGTATATTTTAATTCTGCCTTTTTAGTTGGCAGCCTTGCTGCTTATTTTGCTGTGTTTCATAGGAGGAGAGTGAGTGAACTGTAACAAGCCACTCTGAATTACAGTAGTGCCATCTAAAACCTGGGCTGTGTTCTTGACCTAAAGGGATGATTGAAGGAAATTTTAAGATGTTTCTTTTTGGGAAAAAGACTTGCTCCTGCATCATAGTCTGTGTGGTGCTACTTTTTGAAAGGTTGATATTATTGTGTAGAAAATTGATGTTTGAGTTTGCTTGCACCTATTAGCAGTAAAAAAAAATTATAACAAAATAATGTGGGGAAATAAACTTGGATATCCAGAAACATATGACTGTGCTCAGCAATCACATTTATTTAAGCAAAGCATCATGGTGCTTTTCCTCTGAGTGCTAAGGTGAAACAAGATGTTAGCAGCAAGAAACCATGGTGTTTTTTTCTTGTTATTGATTATTATCCTAAGGAAAGCGTAATGCTTTTGCTTAATCTGAATTAACCATTCTGATATAGGGGATATATCTAACTATAGTTTTTATGCTTAGTCTAGTGCATTTCATTAAAAGCTAGATTTTTCTGTTCACCTGGTTGGTATATGTGCAATTGAAGTGTCTGTACTTTTACAGAGGTAGCAGCACTACTGAAAACTACCTCAAACTCTCTCAGAATTACCACCTCATTTGCCTGTATTGCTAATTTGCACTTACTGTTTGAAATAATTGGATTTTTCTTTTTTTTTTTTTTTTGAGAAAACTTTGGTAATTAAATGAATATGAAATAATGATTTATATATAGCACAGAGCAGTGAGAGAATGCAAATTCAAGGACTGTTTATATAATCTTGGTTCTAAAACAAATATGAATTGAATATGCTTAACTCTTCTCATTAAAAGAAATTCGAAGTGGGAATATAGATGAATATTGTAAAATGGGTTGGAAAAACGTGTTTTCAAAGGTAGCTATGGGAGACAGTTTAAAGATATACTTCAGTATAAAAGCATGTAATTTGGAGCTGTTTTATGTCAAGGTGATGGCTTAGATAAGGTAAAAGGTTTCTTCCATCTGCCTAATCGGTTTCAAGTTCTATTTTCAAGTAAAGCATTGATATGTATATCTGTGTTTCCTTGCTATGCCTGAATATATTAAATATGTCAATTAAAACAGTTCATCAAATYTTCTATATACATATATATAAGTGTATATATAAATAAACATATACATATATAGAGACTAGACTCTGCCTCACACTTCCCACCCAGGATTTGATGAACTGTTTTAATTGACATATTTAATATATTCGGGCAATATATATGTGTGTGTGTGTGTATATATATATAAATTAAAACAACCTTTTTCAGAACAAGCACACCTGGGTCGGTCACCCAACTTACGCAGACAACTGGAACAACTTCTAAGTTAGGCAAATATATTGGCACAAGACAAATGGGTCTGCATGGGGCTAATTTATTGCTGTGAACACCCAGTCTCTGCTGCTCCCCGCTGCCAAGCAAGCCACGCTCTTTCTCGCTCTCTCTGCTCGTGAGTTCAGGTGATCTCCGATTCAAAATCCTTTACAGTCAATCCATAAAAACTGATATTCCTCCTGACATTTACAGTGTTAAGAAAAATAATTTAAAAAGAGAGATAAATGGAGAGAGAAGAGATTCAACATGAGCGCTGTGGTTTCAAGGGGAAGGAGTCTTAGCACTGTTTTTGAGCTCTCCAACTATCAATCTTAAAATACATTTCTGTAAATATCTGTTTGTCTGAGTGAATAACCTAGAGCAAGTGTTAGTGTTGCTTCGATTTTGAGGAACAAGAAAACTGTTTGAGTAACAGCCTTCGATGCAGCCGGGTCATGAGAAACCGTGGTTACTGCAGGTGGCCAAACCCAAAGCTTTTAACAGCTTTTAATTATTTTCAAAGCAGTTGTTATTATTTTGTATCATATTTCTAATCAAGATACAGATGTTGTTTTTGTAACTGCTAGTTCTTCTGGTGCATTAGAGCTTGTTTGTGAAGCTGTTTTACATGTAAGCCCAAGTGCTATGAAAACTTGCACTGTAGAACTTCATAATGAATATGGGACTACGGAGATAAACAAGCTTTATTTAAAACAATAAATCAGTGCATGTAATTTTCCCTCCTTACCTCTGTACCTCTCTTCTCATCCTTTCTTTAAGAAAAAGCAATATACTTTTTATAATCAGTTTTACTATTCAGTAAATTTACACGATTTGAAGAATTAATTTTGTCTGCAGATTCTCCCTTCTAAAGCAGTGGTGTTTTAGTTAAGTCATAGTTGAACATGTCTATTGAATTTTTTTATAAAGCATTTCATGTGCAGYCTTCCCAGTATTCTGTGGATACAATCGCTGCTTTTTCCCTTCTGAAGACTGGAGTTATTGTTAATGGGGTTCAGTAGATCACAGAGCTCCAGAACAGGAGTTCATTCTCCACTCCTGCACATCGACTTTCTTTTTATATAACTGGTATCGAACATCTCTAAGTGGTCCTAAGTGGAGGAGCATCAGTGCAGCAGATCTATAGTGGATTATTATTGCAGTCATAATATTGAAATAAAGCCGTTACGTGGGCAGCGTGGTGGTATTGTGCTCCTGTAATCACATTTGCTGATTGGCGAGCTCAGACAGCTGAGCGGTSAGCGAGACTTGCTGAGCGCGGGCTCTGCGCGGCGCTGGGCCGCGGGCCCGGGGGCCTCTGCGCCGCCTGCSTCTGCCCACGCTCCACAGCCTCCCTGCGCAGCCTGTGCCAGGGCTCTGGCACCCCCACAGGGAAGAAGTTCCTCCTCACCTGGAGATGGAACTGCCTGGGTTTCAGCTTGTACCCACTGCCCCTTGGCCTGTCACTGGCCACCACYGGGAAGAGCTTGGCCCCTTCCTCTCTGCATTCTCCCTTCATGAACTTCTGTTAATCAGATCCCCTCTCAGCCATCTCCAAGCTGAACAGACCCAACTCRGTCTCTCCTCATAGGAGAGATGTTCCAGTCCCATAATCATCTTTGTTGCCCTCCGCTGGACCCTTTCTAGAAGCTCCACGTCCCTCTTATACTGGGGAGCCCAGAACTGCCCCCAATACTSCAGGTGTGGCCTCACCAGAGCTGAGGAGAGGGGCAGGATCACCTAGTTCTGCAAGGCCTGGGCTTTTTGATGAGTGCATCAGGTATAAAAGGTTTGGCTTCTCTTCAGGAAGATCAGTACCTTTTTTCACAAGCGTTACTAACATTTGGGTTAAACAGGGGCTAATTTTTGTGTCACAGACTGTTTGAGAACACTGAATGTTCTGAACTTTAGGAAACGCATCAGGATCTTGGCAGCTGACGATGCTCCTAATTTTTGCCCTTTTTGGTTTCTGTGATTTTTGGTGTTGGTCAGCAGAGCCTCTCCTGCTGTACTTGTACCTCTGGCGAAGCGAAACGCCCGGCTCGCTGCCAGAAGCTTAGGCTGATGCTCTTGCCTTGGTTGCAGGCCCCAAGCACCGTTACTTGTGGTTTGACCAGGCGTAAACTTGGTTATTATGGCTGGCAGGGACAGTTTGCTACACTGACATAACCCAGTTTTGTGTGACTGACTCGGACTTCCTTTCTAGTCTTTGTATCAAACTTCTTTTCCCTATGACTTTTAAGCCAAGATGTTTCCTCTGTGTGTGTCAAGAAGCCCTTTCAGGCTGCTTTTGGATCCTGTTTTGGTAACGTTTACAATTCATACGAATTTGATAACATTCCTGACATGGCATACACTGACACCATCCTTTCCACTGGTTTTACTGTGTGTGGTAGGGCCTTGTCGTTRCCCAGGCAGTGGTTCTGGAAAGGCCCTTTTCTGGTCTCTTACTTTGCCAGCTTTCCAAGTCTCTCGGCAGTTTCCACCTTACTTTACTGTAAGGATTCAGTTAGCTATGCTTAGTTTGGAGCTGCTTATTATTCATTGCCAACATGTTGACTCTGGCATCTGGCCCTCACTATTAGTTAGCACTAAAGTATCCTAGTGCTTTTCTTATTTAACATTTTTCCTCCTTCAGTGAGAACATGTGTTCTCCAAGGCTACTGCGCATGTTTGAGAAGAGCTTTTTTGCTCAGCTACCTTGCTGTCCTTCCTGAAACTGTTTTAATACTCTTACTTGCAAAGGTTCAGGTTTGTTACACATACCATCATAATTAGAATGTCTTGTTTTCTTTCCCATTTTCTCTTTCATCTGGTTCACTGGATTATATTGAATACAGAAGGCCAACTCTATAGGGCTGCAAAGAAGTCTTGTGGGGTTAGCACAGAGATGTCTAAATAACCTGGGCTCCCAGATGCTGTAATAACATAAAYGAATTGCATGTGTCTTGAGAATTTAGATGGTTGCATGTAAGCTAAACTTAAAAGTTGCTTGTAGTAGGTAACTTCTTAAAGCGTGTGCTGAGGGAGGGATTTTCCTTGGCTAAATATGTGCTTGTAGTGAAAGAGGCTGCATGCTTTGCAGTACTGCAATGTAAACCAGGGATGGTTAGGAAAAGGATTTTCTTTTTGATGGAACTCTGYCGATCTAGAGCAGCTGAAGTCCTGGCCCACTTAATAAAGAGAAAGCAGAAGCGAAAGGTCGTTTTAGCTGCATTTATCTGAATTGGCATCATGCTTTTGTGACAGTATTGAAACCTGTGTTATTTCTACTAGATTTTCAGGCTGCATTATGTCTGTATGCACAGGCATCGTTGGGTGTATGTATGTTCTAAGATGTTATCTATGAAACATTGCCTGGATGATGATTATATTGGATTTAATTCACTGCTTTTATGAAGCAAAAGGTTTTAATTTCTTACCTCTAACGGCAAAATCTTTTTTCTAGTGCTTTTCTTAGTAACATCTGTCATGGCTACTTCTTTAAGACATTAAACAAGATATCATTAAAATATTTTACTTCTAGATACAYCCTCCAAATTTCAGTTATAATTTACAATTAATATCGTCTTTGCAGGTACATGATGCTGATTGATGGCAGAAATGAAGTTTACATGATTGATAGAGATAACTCAATTTTTCATGTATCAAATTTGGAATTTCCATTTCGTAAAGATCTTCGCAGTCATCTAGCAAATACTCTTCTGGATGGGGTAAGGAGCATATAATACTTGATATTTTTAGGACTGTTTTCTCCAGTTGAGAAACTGGGCCAAGCTTCAGTGAATTACGAGTTTTGGGAGTAATACAGATTCATTCACTGTCTGTGTGTGGGAATCTCACTGTTTGTAAGTGTCATTTCTTATATGTAGAATAGCAATGTTGGCTACTCTGGGGGGAGCTGTTTACTTGTCTTTAAAGTAGATCGGTGTATTGAGATTCTCTGCTCCCTGAATATGAGAAGAGGCCTGAAGAGAATCTAAAGAAATAAGTATAGAACCTCATTTCTTGGTATAGTRTTGTATTTTGACATAGTGAGCATAGTCAATATATATAATCTAAAATTAGATAAGCTTCTTGCAGTCTTTCGATATACTTAATTGATAATTTTGCTTTCATCATCTTTATTTTCAGCTGATCTGAATTATTGACTTCAATTTAGAAACTGTTTTGTTGCATTTCACAGAATCGCAGAATGGTTGAGGTTGGAAGGGACCTCCAGAGAGATCAGCATTTGTGTGAGACTAGCACTTTTGGAGGTAGCGAGTTCATACAGCTTTGTGAAACAAGGTGTAAATGGATGTATTTATTGCTTAAAGGCTGTCCTGAAGTGCATATTTCTACTTGCTGAGCTTTTCAGAACAGCAGCCACAAGAGGATATTGGTTCCTCTTGACCTTTCTATTTCAGCAGCAGGACTTCATTAGCTCTTATACTAAGTATCTATGAGGGTGGGTGAATGTTGGTGGCCATCCTGTTTCCTTGATGCTGGAGCCCCTCTACCTGTCCGTGTCACCCTCACTGCAGTGCTGGGTGCCTGGGTTGATCCTCCACCTTGGTCTGCTGAATCCAATGCACTCCCAAACATGGGAGTTCACGCTGTCATTCTCATTATTTTCTTTTATTTCCAGGGCCTTTGTTGTCAGTGTCCTTCTTGAAATGCCACTCCTGGGAATAATCAGCCCTGCTGAACAGTATTTACACCCAAAGCAGCTTTAAACAAAGCTGTGGGGAGASTTAGTGCAAGGAAGAGCAAACCTTGTCAGAGACAGAGAAGCAGATAATGAAATACTTTCCACCTATTTTCTTCACTGAAAGATTAAGAGCATTATGCAAGAAATGAGAGGTTCACAGACCAAAAGTGGTTGCATAAGCTGCATGTCTGATAGGAACCTCTTCAGCCAGACAGCTTCTTAATGATGTACTTAAAATTATTAATGACATACATTAAGTTCCATACTGTTGAGATAAGACTGGTACTGTTTTTCGACTTTCTGCTGTTTTTAAAGCTCTTGAGGAAAAAATAATGGTTTGCCAATGTCTATAAACTGTAATCCTGTTTTGTTGAACTCACATAGGAACTATTCATCCCATCCATCTTCCGGATGGTAGTTTGGCAAAGTCTCTGAGGCTGCTGTTGAAGCACTTGCTGAAGTTGCCTGTAGTCAGTGTAGAGCRTGTTCAGTGATAGAGCCCTTCTGTCTGCGAGATCACCTGTGTGAACGTGGTTGTCAGGACAAGCTCTGGAGCCTGCACTGACTTCACGTGGCTTGTGAGACATCAGGAAGAGTGACGGGGTTTGCTTGGGCTTTTGACTTTGTTTTTTTCTCTGTGTTTATTACTATTTTTTTCCCCCCCTCTCTCTTTTGTAGCTGTAGCTTGTAGCTGTGTTGGTAAAGGAAGATCTAGAGGTTGTACTGAAGGAAAAAATTGTTGACTTTGGGTTTACTATGGGGTGTTCCTATAAGCTTGCTGTGAAGCCTGAGAAAAATGTGGGCTTGTTCTTTTGAATGTAGCACTGGCCATGGCAGTGAAATGATTTTAATGCTATCAAAACAAATTGGCTTTGTGTTTGGCTACTGTTTTTCACTGCATGGAAGAATAAAAGATGGAACAAAACCAGGCCAACCAGCTTGATGCCACTTGTTCCTGAAGAGACTTCAGAAAGGACTATCCCGAACAGCTAGCTAATGTATCATAGATAATATACCATAGATAATATCATTATACTGGCCTACAGTAGCAGCACTATGGGATTTAAAAACAAAGTCTGAACTGGATTTTTTTTTTTTKGGAGCAGCTGAACTTGTTGCAGTGTCAGATGTCAGAGATAGGTGAACTGGCTGTTAGCTTGAAGCTGGTGTTGTCCCTTTACAAGGAAAAGAGCAGTTTTTCAGATTTATTGGGATTCTTTAGTCATGATGGGTTAACAGGATGGAGCCAGTTAATAGGCAAGATGTATGAAATACCTGTGATGTGTGGGTTGCCCGGAGAGGAAAGGGAGAGCAAAGTAAGTTTTGTGTAAAAGGTGAAATGGAGGGAGAGAACTTGGGGTGCGTCATAGCAGTGCATGAAGGAGATCTGTGCGAGCAGAACCATCTTGCTGGTCGTGGTCAGAGCTAATTGCAGAATAGTGGGCTCCCTTTTAGGACCTGAGTGTGGAAAGGGCGGGAAGGAAGCTACTGAACTCCTTTCTCAGAGGCAAATGTCACTGCCAGACTTCCACTGGAGGAGATAATCGAGGCTCAGAAGTTGGGGAAAGATGAGGGAAAGGCTTTGGCCTGTGACACTTTTAAGAATGCAAACCTTACTCTGCCGGGCCTGTTGTATCGTTGTGGCCTTCAAGCAGTGGGGGCATRAGTTTTACAGTATGTCCTGGTCTTATAGTGCCTTTCTCTTAATGGGTTCTATGACCTGTGGGCATCCCTAGCCAGGAAAGTGCCCGAGAGCTTTATTGAAAAAGAACACTTCAAGAAGCAAAAGTTACAGAAGAAATTGGGGTGTTCTGATCTTGCGGTTTTCGAGGACACTAACTCCAATTTTAGTTTCTGAAGACTCTCAAGAGTAGATGAAGCTGGAAGATCTTGGTTACTGATTGTGGCAGCGTCTCTGTTGCCCAGGACATGAACTATGATTTCATCTGATCTGTTGTAAAAGTTTGACTGTTAGTGTTCATCATAGTGTCTCACTTCACTGGCATGAAGTTAGTCTTAGAGTGAACTCTTTAACTGTGGTTTTTTTTTTTTTTTTCCTCCAAAGTGAAGTGAAAAACAAAATAGAATGAAGCTAACAAGTCTTGGTTGAAGAAGTATTTTGAAATAAAACTGAAACTTTTTTTATGGATAATGCAGGTTTTTACATTTAAGTATGCTGAACTAAAAGAAAAAAAGTTGATGGAATTTACTGGGTATTTAAAAATTCTTGTCAACATATTTGAAAGTAGAATTTGCCACTTTGAAGCATCACAGCAGCTCAACGTGGTAATTAAATGTTTCCTTAATGTTGATGCTAGATGATCATTTCTGTTACAGTTCCTTTACTCTGGATATATGTGAATGATTACTTTCTTTTTTAATCCATTGGAAGAAAATTCTGGCTTTTTTGCATTCACGTTTTTTCCGAATTAGTATTGAAGGATTGAAGTTAATACTTTAATTACATATAGAAATAGTTCATARTCTTACCCTTGCAGTAGCTCTTCTGCTTCAAAGGATGAAGGTGTAGAAGGAGGCGGCTCAAGTGGTGCTGTTTGGTATGAATCTTAACCAAACTTGAAGCTAATACCAGTGTATTGGAAAGAAGAGGAGACAGAACAGACCCATTCTGTCTCTTGCTGTCATGTAGTGAAACAACTACTTGTTTTAAGGATATGAAAGATCAAATAACATCCTCATCCCCCAACCTTTACCTCAAATGACAATGTGTAAAACTTAAGTAAGGGYGATTTCTGTGTTTTCAGTTTTCTATTAACTGTAATGTTTCTGCTGGAAGCCTTTCATGTGGTTGTCTTTGAGATTCTTGGATATATTTATGGTTTGCTTCGGGCTGAAATGCCTTGCAAATATTTCTTAGAGTGACTAATTGCATCCTCCGAGGTGGTAGGAGATCTGCTGGAAGGCTCCTTGCTCATCTCCAGGTTTCTGCAAAGCTCATCAAAGCTGGTTTGGACATTACCCAGAGATGACTAAGTAGACTGCAAAGGATTCCTCCAGAAGCCAAGTGTTTTGCTGCGTCCCTACTGCTGCCTAAGGGAATGGGAAGATTTTTGTTTAAATATTTTTGGCTGTCTGGCAAGGAAATGAATTAGTTCTTTTCAGGAACTTTCGTGCCGTTCTGCTTACCACAGGAGCAAGGGAGTAGAGGATGGAGAATGTCCCTTAGACTTGAAATGGTTTGTTCTTCCGATTTGCTGTTGAAGATTTGTGTGAACGTGGACTTGTAAGTTTATTGCAAGTATAAAGCATCTAAGTGTACAAAAATGTTCCTTTTCAGCAAATTCGATTAAAGTGTAATCTTTGAGCTGCCAGGACATTGCTGTCATTTCACAAGCAAAGCTGGCTGTTAGCTTCTCTGTGAGCAATACATCTGGCCTTCAAAGCGGCTCACAACGGTGGCAGAACATCCAATAAAATTCAGCTGRGTGAGGGTTTCCTTAGTAACCCCACACTACAACAAGACAGATGCACTTCTGTTCTTCAAGCAATTAAGGCTGTCAAATTTTATTACTTAAATTTGAAAGCAGCACAAGTGAGATGGGCGAATGTTTGACGAGTCCATCGCTCCCCACTTCTGGAGCTTCCCGTGGCAAAGAGCCGATGGGAAGTCGCAGCCACCCTGCCCGGATCTCCCTCGTGATGCAGGACCCAGCACGAGGGGGACTCTCCTGGAGCCCAAATTTAACTCACTGGGCACGTGGGCTCTAGGAGCTGCTGAGGAGCTGCAGTGACTGTAGGGTAAGAACTTGCCATGTGGGGGCCTTTGTCTTCCTCTGTCKTGTTGCTTTAATCAGTGCAGAACTCACTTATTTGTAAGTTCTGCTGGAAGGGGCGTTATTTATAACCTTGTGAGCCTGCAAAACTGACACTTCGTACAATATAAATTTTTTTTTTCTTCACTTCTGAAATATAGYGGTAGCTAAAATTACGTTGAAGGTAAAAAGTTAGAAAAAAGRCAAGGGACAGAAAGGGAAAGGAACAGTAAAAAAGTCTGATTAGATCTGATTTCATACTCTCTCAGCTAAAAATGCATTTTTCAAGTTGCTGGTAAAATAAGACCCTTTGATTTGTGATTAAGTTTTGGATTATTTTTAAGTCCAAGCTGTTTRTTAGATACATGATTCAAAGGAAAAAAAAAATGTCCCCGAGCTGTCACTCCAGTGTTGTTCTTTTGGCTCTTGTCCAGCCAGAAGCTCTTAGAGCACTTTTATAACAGCAGCTCTGCTGAGACCGGGCTCTGCGACACGAGGAGATTAAGGGAAGGAGATTAACATTCGCAGCCTTGCCCGTTCCCATCAAAGGAGCTGGCCACTGGACCTTGTTCCAAAACCCGAAGGTTAAGCTAAGAATTAAAGTAATGCCTAATGGAYAGGTGATAAAGATCCTATTTCCTATTAGTTGGGGCTTTGAGCACATTACGGTGGCTGAAAACCTACACTGGCTACGTAAACAGGAGCGCGTGGATCCAGGTGTATCTTGTGGATAGTTCTGTGTTCTGCAGTGCTGCTGTCCCTGGAGGGTGTTGGATGTTTGTTTGTTTGTTTGTTTTGCTTTTAAGTCTTGTTTTAGTTATCTAAAAATTATCTTAACTTGGTATTGCTAGACTATATTTATCAAACCAGAATTACTCAGTACGAATTTGAATAACGTCTSAAATACTACATTTTCACCAACAGTCTATGCTGTGGACTTACTTTGGAGATCTAACCCCAAGATATTTTTCAATTCTCATAATGTCAAGGAAAATCTTGAAATCAGGCTCCTAAATGTCGTTATATGTTAGAGTATTTTAATCCTCATTTTTTCATGGTCCATTTTTCAGCTTTTGCTTTACGACAGTGGCCGKGGCATAACGAATAGAGCAGGGAGTGCTGGTGTCGTGCTGGAGACGAGCAGAATAGAGCAGAGTTTGTCAGCTCGGCTCCTGCAGCGTGTTGAGTTATCAGGTATTTGCTCTAGGGGCTGGATGGTAGAACGGGGCAAAAGAACAAGAGACAGGGAAGGGGGGAAAAACAGAGAGATGATGAGAAGAGGCTAATTGGACAAGTTAATATAAGCAAAAAAGTTGGTGTCTGAAGTAGCGAAAAGGCGTTGTTACGAAATTAGTTCCATGTTAAAACTTAGTTTAAATTCCAGAGAACTATTAAAAAACATGGATAATTCAGATTCTGAAATTTTGAAAATTAGGCATAAAATCTTACAGCATCCTGCATTTACCAAATATTCAGGGCTTTGCATATAAATGCTCACTTTGTGTCAAAACCGAATCTCTGAAAATATATTCTGTGGAAATGAAACCTCCAAACTTTATTTTTAAAATTCACCTAACATATTTATCTCCAGCACATAATGCAAGTGAAATTTCAAAAGAATATAGTAGCTTTTTTTGTTTTCTTTTTACTTTGCTCATCATTTCTAATGGCAAAACACCTGGTTCATATCAGTATTTTTTTTGGTTTGTTTGTTTTTTTAATCTTTACGCACTCTTCCAAGTTTAAACATCATTCTGTCTTGTGTCTTAAGGGTGTACCCGTTCCATCTGTTCTCACAGTTATTTATGGCATTTACTGTAAGAGAAGTTCTGCTGCCGTTCCGTTGGGAGTCTGCCAGCATGGTACCACATTGGGGGAAGTGATGGAAAGGCATGGCATTGCATCATAGCTGTGTAGGCTTTTTCTGGAGGTTATTTGACAGAATCTGTAACTAAATGATTTTTAGAGTTAAGAATAAGATGTCATATTTCAAAGGAGTATTTTTCACTCATTGAATTAAACTACTTTGACAGTCTTATTTTGCTTGACTTTAAGTAGTGGATTCTAAGAGAGGTTAAAAAATTAAACCAACTTTATTTCTTGCTAGGTAAGTAACACAGTTTTATATTCATCTTACCTAGCAAGAAATAAAGTTGGATTTAAGGTTCTCTTTTGGGTTAATTATCAAGCTTATACTCTTGTTTTCCTCATTTTGTTTTTACCTTTTCCTTCTCTTTCATGTCATATGGGTAAATTTAGAATTTCACTTTGTTAGCAGCAGCCAAAAGTCCTTGGCTGGCACAGGCTTCCTGCTATCCAAGACGCTGGGGGACAAAGTGGGGAAGTTTGCTTGCATTTAGAGAAAGAAATATTTCAAAATTACCATTTGCAATGATGACTAATTCCTATTAAGTTAAATCATTCTTATATTGAATTCATATAATAATAAGTTTGAGTTACAGATGTAAGTATCAGCATGTAAGATTTATGTGTATTTGTAATATAATTTCAGGAAACACTTTTGTGTTTGCATGCAGATAGTTAATGGATTCTGTCCTTGCAGATCTTTTTTTCAAGACAGATTATCAATATATATGGAATTTTAAATAATTTCAAGTGATGCAGCTATTCTGTGTGATATTTCTGTTTGAAGGAATCCTACTGCTTAGTCACAACACAACATTCAAACAAATTGTAGCTGTAACTGAAATCTGTGTGTCCAAATGGACATTTGTGTTTGTTCTTCACATCCTTGCTGTTGTAGGGGACATCTCACAATACTTTCACAAGTATTTGCTTAACTCATCACAATTTCTACTCTATTATTATTATTATTATTATTTTATTAAAATACTCAGGATAAGTAATGATTTTGAAAACCATGTAGAAAGTGATGTATAGATGTTGCAGGTCAGAATATGGAGCTACATTACAGCTTTCTGGATTTTTTTTATGCTTCATGAGAAGCATTTATCATAACATTTTTTTATAATCTTGATCTAGTATAAAATCTATTTTGTAATAAGGATGTGACAAGTAATTGACTACATAATGCATACAGGTATGTGCACTAGAGATAAATGTGTTGACATTCTTTTATATTCATGAAATAAAAATAAATGTCATCTCTTTTCTTTTAAGGAAATGATCATCGACAAAGTTAATGGGCAGGTTGTCCCTCGGTACTTGATATACGACATTATTAAATTTAATGTAAGTACTTTTTCAGTTTTACTGCAGTTATCAGTTATGATTCACATTTCTATTTTAATTTTAGTTGTATAATTACGAAATCGATAGAAGTCTGAGTACCGAAAGTGTTTGGGTTGTGTAGCTTGATAACAAGCAATGCATCAGAATTAAGCCTGAAAGCAGTTGTATGGTAGATACTGATTTATTTCTACCTGCTCAAGAAAAAGTGGTGGTTTGAAAAGGTCTGCTAAGCACTCTCTTTTAAAAATAGTCTGTTTCTAGAGTATGTTTGAGCATATTTGAACATAGTTTAGGTTTCAGCAATAATAAATTGAGCCTTTTTTTCTCCAATGTGAACCTGACTATGTAATAATCAACTCGGTAACAGTCTGGGCACAATTTAAAATTCTGACGTTTTTAGCCTTCCAAAGAAGCTATTCTGTGATTCCGTGAAGCACAAAAGCTTTGTACAGATGTAGTTGTCTTATTTTCTCATACTTTGACTGGAATCTATAAGAAGCAAGAAAGTCCTTGGCATTATTCTGTAGATTGAGCTATTATACCAAAATCAGTGCAGAAGCCACTACATGAGTATGGAATCATCTCTCTGAAATGGGTGGTCTTGCTGGCATGGGCTAGCTAACCGTGGTTTCTAGTAGATGAACACATCTACAACAGCAACAATGATCTTTTATGTAGATAGAGCAATTGAGAGGAGATGGAGAATTTGCCTGTAAGTAGTGTAAATCTTCACAGAACATTCACAGTGCTTGTGGTTATGTTACTCCATCACCTCTTTAGAAGAAAACATGCAAGAGCCCTGAGGTCATGTTTGAAAGCTGCTTTAAAGAGAAACTGCCCCTCAGTCCCTTACCTCTATATTGTTTATTCCTAGTTATTTCCTCCCCCCTAACTATACAATGGATTTAAAGTTGATGTGGGGTCTTGCAGCGGGGTCTCCTAACTTATGTAAAGCAATAACAGTGAAAGAAGTGTTTTACTTGTCAACTCTTATTATGAAATAAATTGTCTAGTGAATAGTCTTTTATGTCAAAGTCAGAGAAAATGTCCTTTAGGAAAGATGAATTTAACCATATATATTTCTCAAACTATTTAAAATAATTTTGAGAGAATTGAATGTATTAAGTTCAGTCCCTGAGGCTGTGACTAACCAATCCATGGAATAATACTGTAGTATCTATTAAAGGTTTTGGAAATATGGAATTATTGTTCTAGTCTTTGTGACAGGATAAACATGACTACTAAGACTCGATGCATTTTGGGATTCTTAAACTATTGGTGACTCTTCCAGACTTCAGCAAGGTGCTAATCAGCTCGAGTAGGTCATGCAATGTAAGGGGAAACTGCAGAATTAGGTCTTGAAAAATACTCTTCTGAGCGGCATAGCCATACTGTGAGTTAGAACAACTGCGGTTTATGTCATTCTGGCTATCTGCTTTTAAAAATAATATTGTGGATGCATGTTAAATTACACATACACATCTATTGTTAACACTCTTAAATTGCTGAATCATAATGAACTTCTTTTCTTTAACCGCTTTTGACGAGTAAGTGGTAGTGTCCTGGATCTTTCCATGTTTTAGACTTTTGCTTATTAAAAAAATCTTTGTAGAATTATGAAAAGTATGATCTTTTATAATAATACCTGGGCTCTCATTTGCCCTTCACATTGTTTATGTATTCCTCCACCTGCCATTATTTTCTTTCATGTCATTATAGTTGTTGTCTCTCATCTTACTCTGTCTAGTCCATCGCTCACTACTATTTCTCTGCTTTGGAAAAATGAAAGTAAGGTAAGAAGTGAAGAGTTTCCCTCTTCTCTCTGTTTAGGATATGCATACACTGCCTTAGAAAAATAAAAGTCCTAAGCATTTTGATGGAACCTTTTGGGGGAACGAGGTGGTGCTTATAGACCCTCGTATATAACAAAGTGCACAGACTTAGCTTGTAAAGTCTTGCTTGACAGGCAGCAAAATGATGAGAGGTCTTTGAGATGATTGCTAAGGTTTGAAGAAAAAGATTGTAAATGCCGTAAAGTTGATTTTTTTTCCAAGTTGACCTCCCCATATGAGCAATACAACTTCAATGTCAAGGGCAAATAAAGACAGTATGTGAGTACAAACAGGGCTGCAGCTGCAAGAAGCCGTTAGCAGTGGTCCTACTAGAAAGATTAAAAAGCACAGCGGCTTTTAGGTTAATTTTAGAAGCTTAATTACGAAACTGGGCAAACGAGGATATTTGGCTTGGCAAGAAATGCTCAACGGAATTTTATCAGTAAGAGAGGTAGGTGTATTGAAAACCTGTAGCTGGCAAGATGGGCTAAGTTCCTTGTTTAAGTTGCGTAGGTTAGATTGTGTAATTCAGCATTTTTGTAGTAAGCTTCAAAATAAATAATTACACAAAGCTTGTATAGGGGGTTAAAAAGACCAAAACCAGCCCTGTGATGTCCTCAAAAATTCTGCATTGTTCTTTTGATCTTGAAAGTAGTTTTGTCTTCTGAAGGTGAATGGTGGAGTTACTGATCTGGGTGGCCACTGTAAATGGATGGGATTTCCAGCCTGCCCGATACCTCAGCTTCTCTCYTGATGAGCAGTCTGTGATATCACATTAGGAAGAAATGATGTTTCAGGTCCTAAAAAATGCCACYGTTACAGGGCTTGCCCATGCTGGGCCTTGTATTGGTCTGTTAYGTTCCCAACGTTTGTGTCTTCAGGTTTTGCTCTGGCCTGACACCTACGTGTGACCGTGTGAGTGACAAGCTTGACTGATGGTTCAGACACCTCTGAAAAAGCCAAAATCAAAAGCAGGCTCTCGAGAGGAGCAAAATCTGCTTTGGGTGGAAGCTGTCAGCACGTTCAGTGCATGGCACAAGAGTTCAGCCTTCAGTTGAAGGGAGGAARTGAGAATGCTCCTGGTCAACATGCAAGTATAAGAGGAAAACTGAACTTTGCTATGTAGCGACCAAAGGCATCTTTAASAAAAAARCAAAATTCAGAAAATRCACAAATATTTGAAGTACCAGTGCTTTAGTACAAGTTGTTTGTCCTATGAGGCATCATTTTAGATCACTGTAAGCAAAGCTGATGTGTGGCTCTGGGAGCCAAACTTGCCCTTGCCTGTTCCGAGCAGTGGGTCAGCAGCCCCTGCCCTTAGAGGTGCTGTTATTGTGCCTGCCAGAAAGGAGGCAGGGACCCAGWCTGAGCACCTACAACAGCATGTGGCTGTCCAGGAGTCGAGATGCAGTGGGTGCCAAGGCTTGACACCTCTTTTGGACAGCTGTAGGGATTGCAGCTGTGTAAGATGAGAGCAGGTGGAAGATCTGCTCATCATCGTAGCTCAACTGTGAGAGGAGGTAGAAAAGCTCCTCAGCTTCCTGTATATATATACTATATATATATATCTATATGTATGTGTATATATATACACATATATGTATATATATACTGTATATATATTATACATATATATACATATATATGTATATATACTGTATATATATGTTGTATATATATGTATATATATAATAAAGTAAAGACAGTTAAAATGCATAGAGCAAAAATATGAAATTAAAGTTTTAGACCACAGCAAAATAATGTCATATAATTTTAAATTTTCAAGCATCATATTCTGCATATATATTCTCACTATTTTCAGCCAGCTTTATTGGGCTTCACATTTGGGATGCACTCTGTACTTCTGTTTTCATTATTCCTTTTCTTGTTTTGAAGAGTTTGAATATTCTTAGTATTGTGTTTGAAAATATATGAGGTGACGCAGGACAACCTTATCTCTGTTGTATGCCATACTTTTATGGCTTTTAATAAGGGAACATAAAAGACAGAAGACTCATACCTACACAAAACCCACAGAGCTTCGCTTGGCTTCTGTCTCCGTAGGGGCACAGAGTACTGTGACCACAGTTGCCTTTACGAGCAGCAGTGAAAGTTCTACAGAGATGGCACATTTAATTTTAAAGCTCTATCTACAAACTTTCAGCCTTAAAAGACAAACACAGCCTCTATAAATAGCTGTTCATATTGTCCCSTGCTATTGTGCCATTCTGCAGTTAACTGTTTGAGACAAATGTCTGCTTGAGGTTTAAGAGCTGCAGCTGTCAACCAGGAATGGATTAGCTGGGAGTGGAAATAAGTTTTCCACTTCAGGTGCAATATAGCGATCTGGGAGATGATTGTGGAATCACAGAGAGCCTCAGTACAGCAGGGTGTCTGTATTTAGGCTTAGTGAGCATTTTATTTGGGTATATGGCAAGTAAGGTAAAGCACCGCTGAAGTCATAGGAGAGTGATAACAGAAACGTTGCAGGCAGGCTGTGTAAGCAATGAAAGAGAAAACCCAAGGGGAGGAGAAAGGGAGCTACCTTCTGAAAACTGGAGTCCYGTTGTCATCAGTGAAACTTCTCGCTACTTAGCTTTTCCTTCAGCGTTGCTGTGATGGATTTGGAATAAGCTACAGGAGGCTTTTCTAGAAAGAAGTGAAGGAAATTGAGAAAATGTGTTATGGTTGAAATATACCCTGAAYATTTGGCTCCAGATGTCTAGACAGGAAAAAATATTAGGAAGAAGAAAAAATAAAAATTGGGTTTCTATGCTTGGGAGAGATTTGTACTGGAATTCTTTGGGGACACAAACTATCTACCGTGGCAGCCTGCTTCCATGATAAATTTTGTATTGAATTTTGATGCTTATCACCTGTAGCTGCTGAAAAAGTTGTTGTCTTCAGGGATGCTTGTGGAACACTTTGATTCCTTTCCTCTTTAATCGTGGTTTCTGTGACATCTCTGGAAGCTTGCGGTAGCGCATGCCGTTTTGTTAAAAGAGAAGCCTGTATCTGGAAAAACAAATGATTCTTTAGAAGATCAAAAAAATAATTTTACTGTTGTTTTTTTCTGTCTGAATATAACCTTAATTATTATTAATAGTAATTCAGAGCATGGCATCTTTTATGCTAAAAGAAGAAAAGATGAAAGCTTTCATCCAGCAG